GTCACCTTGCTCTTTTAAAAAGGTTTTTTTTTTTTTTTTTTTACTATTATCCAGCATTTGATGAATTGATAAATTAAAAAGCAGGTCTTTATTTTGAAAAATATACACATTAAATGGTAGATCCACAGATATCAAAGGAATAAAGCATGCGGAGAAATATCTCTGACGACGAACAGATTGGTGACGCCTCATATAGTAAATATCATCGTATCAGTCAGCTCTGCTGTGAACCCCCTAAACGTCCACCTTTACCACCTTTAGATCATCTACCTGTATCCTGGCTGTCCAGCTTCCTGTGTGGGTTTGGTAAAACAAGTCAGGGGACGCCGCCTTGGCCCTGCCCATCCACAGGTCTGGTCCTGCCTCCAGGTCGTGCCCCAGTGTCTTTTACTTGAAGTGAGATTGTCATCACAATAAACATTTCAGCGTTGATGACGCAAATGCTGTTTGTTTAATCACCTGCGCTGCAACTCGAGCCTGAATTCCCCGAAAAAACCTCAGAGCAGGAAAATTAAACCTGTTTACTTGTTTTAATTTTTCTGAAAAACTCTGCACCTTAGAAGTGAAAGAAGAAGAATACGCAAATATATTTTCTGGCAGTTTGCCGAAGCTCTGTCTTTGTACTGCGGTGCTGCTCTGTTGTTCCTTTCCTGTGTCATAAATACAGAACACCTCTCTGTGGATTGTCCCTGTGTTGCTTTGTAATTCCAACATTACAAATCACCTGGTGTGTTTTTGTATTTGTGCGTCTGCCCGCTGAAGCTCTATCAGTGTATCAGTTTGTTCTGTCTACAAAGCGTTGGCGGTTTTTGTCTGTGAGTCTTAGTTACCGCGCTGTGTTTGGTAGCAACCAGGGCTGCGCTGGGCGTGAACACTGACAAAACAAAACTTAACAAAAAAAGAAGCTGAAAACTGTTGAGTAACCTGAAGGATGTTCGTCTGGTTATAGAACTATGGTTTTCATTGTTTCTACAGGCTGTTGTGTTATTAGATCACTGTCTACACCTTGTGTGTATCCTCATGTAGGTACAGAGGAGGGGAGGTATTTATAGTCCCTGCCCGCAGAGCAGAAACTTCCTCGATTAGTACGAGTTAAAATCTCTCAAACGTGCCTCAACTGAGGGCCTGGTTTAGAAATGAACTCTCTCCCAAACCCTCAGGAGTGTTTTCAGTTTAATGTTCCAAGAAGGTTTGTTGGAAATTACCTCTTAATCATAATACCTGTTCCTTTAATATTCAGGTTAGAGACATGTAACCAGTGGAGATGCTTTAACACGGAGCATAAGATCGCTGATGGTTTGATGAGTTTGATTACGATGTGAATCACATCCTGTGGCCTTCACAGTCAGCACGTCTCAATCCAACTGAAAACCTATGAAAGGAGCAACTCATTTTTCTCATGAAGCTCCTTTTTCCCATAAATGTGATAAGAGTTTAACAGGAGCACTTCTGCGAAACTTTCAACACAGCCAACTTTGACTGAACTTCTCGGATTAACGTAAATGCTAAAGCAACAAGGTTAAATATGCACGGAGAGAAATAAAAAACAATCTTTCCTTCTGCAGACCTCCTTACATTGTAAGTTTTCATTCACGTTATCTGCAGTGATGAATAAATGAATATATAGCAAACAGGAATTAAACAGAAACTGAGAAACTCTATTAACGGACTCTGTGTGAGAGGATGAGGAGAGCGTCACTCTCACAGTGGTCGGTGATTGAGATAAAATGAGTTTTAAATTCTATCAGTGATGCAGCCTGTGAGAAAGAAAGCTTCTTCTTCTTTCAAAAATACCCAGAAATAAAGAACGAACATTTATATTCTATGTCTGAGAAGGGATTTGGACAGCACCCTCCACCAACACCATCAAAACACCAAAAGATGGACTATATTTTGGAGAATCTCTAAGAATCTGTTATTACAAAGAACACTGAAGCTGTCCTGGAACACCGAGGTGGCAAAACAATATGTTCTTTTTCTCTCTTCATTTTTCCTCACTCAGAAATAGAAGGAATGTCAAATAAAGGAAATGTTGGTGGTTTGGCTAAAACAAAAAAATCTCAACCTGACAGGTCACTTGTTGATACCTAGAAAGATGAAGTGTTCACTTCCTGTTTTCTGTTGCTGCTGACCTCAATCAGCAGAGGGCAGCAGCACCTCCACCGTCCTCTTGTTGTTTTAAGTCAGCGAGCAGCACCAGAGCTGCTGCTTAATGCCTTCCCCAGAGCTGTAATTACCCTCTGTGCGTCCTGTACTCGCTGCTGCTGATGTGGAGGTTAAGATGAGCTCAGCCCCTCAGGCCTCGGGGCTCAGTCCGTCCCTGGCACGGCATAGGTTAGGCAGCGGTGAAACTCCACGCCGCTCGCTGCATTACTCATCCGTCTCCGCCGCTCTCGTGCTCAGACGGCAATGTGTGTGTATGTGTGTGTGTGTGTGTGTGTATGTTTTGGAGTGTAAATCACGGCTGCGCTCCAGCTGCAGCTCAGCGTGACTAGGGGCGAGGAGGGCCAGACAGGCCTAGCCATGTTGTGTTTAGTTTTTTATAGTGGCGGGGCCAGATGTACAGCTGATTCAGCCCAAGGTCTCCACATACAGCGTGAGTAACAGCAAGGCTGCACAGTGTCCTCCTCAGGCGTGCACAGACTACACACAGACAGTTTCATTTTTTATTAGATCCTCTCTGACTCCTCAGTCTGCATACTTCTTCAGTCTGCCGTCTTTTTTCTCACACTGATCCAAAGCCTGATCCTTTCCGGTTCAGATCCTGTAGTCTTGATTTACTCTCCTGCTCCACTTTATTTTGAAGGGTCATGATGATGTAAGCCTGACACGGCGTCCTGTTGGTCTGATGAGCCCTCCGTCAACAAACCCACAAAACAAGGTGTCAACGTCCATACACCCCAATCAGCATCTGTGTTCTGTCACACGCTCTCTCTCTCACACACACACACACACACACACACACACACACACACACACACACACACACACACACACACACACACACACACACAGTAGCAGCATGAAGCCTGTGTCCTTCTTCACACCTCCATGTTGACCCAGGAGGATGAAGTAGAGTCATGAACAGGCTTGCCCATTTGCCCAAAACACATTCTCACACACACATTCTCACACACACACACACACACACACATACACACACAGACACACACACACACACGGTGACACCCTGCCTTGCAGTACACATTAGCCGCTCCATCAGACCTGACACCTCCACTTTTTCTTGTGCATTTGTGCAGCAGCTGTGTGGGTGTGTAGGCTTCAGGTGTGGTTGTCCCTCAGCCGGTCTCGGCAGGGGGGTGTACACACGTGCATGAAAAAGAACCACAGGTTTGATTCCCTGCTCCACTCTAGCCCTTTGTCTTAACTGAAATTGGCAAACACATTAACCCTCTCTCCCTCTCATTACACCAATCAACATATGGGTGGCAGTTGCCCCCCCCCCCGCAGTACTCAATATACAGGTTTCAGTTCAAACATCTGGCTGAGTGTGTCACTGCGGCCCAGCTATTGATATTCTAATTGATCACCTCCCCCCTTTTCAGCTGATGAGACTGATAACGGCTCTGTTAAAAGTGCAGCGCAGAGAGCGAGGCGTCAGAGCAGAGACTGTTTGATTAATGAGCCGGCAAGAAAAACCAAAGCAAAAATCTCTTTGTCACTTTTTCATTTGAACTATATTAAACAGAATTAGTCATTTAGTTTCAAACCTTTTAGCACCTGATACCAGACGTCTTTTGTGTTGGGGCTGCAGCATCGATTGTGCATAATGATTTTAGTTTCATTAGCATTAGTAGCACTGACAATCTGAAATACTGAAGCATTCAATTTCACTTGGAGCATGTGCAATAGTTAGAAATAGTGATTTATGGCATCATTATTATAATGGTCATTAATGATCAGAGTAATGTAATAAAATAAAGTTTTAATTGAAGCTGTGTTTATGCTGGATTTTTTAAATCAGTCTAATTCACAAACAGACGCCATCAGATCCTAAAAAACATAATTCTGATAATTACGACCTGACCAGTAAATCAAGAGGCTGATTATCTGCCAATACTGATTTTATTACAGTTGTATTAATTATCAATAAATAGTTCAGTTATTTTGATCAGTTACTTTTTAAAAATAAATTTAAAATGTCTAGGAAGTCTAGGGAGTTTCGTAGAGACCGTTCAGTTTCACTGCCACCCCTCTGTCTGTCCACCTGTATGCTTTCTCTCTCTCTCTCTCTCTCTCTCTTTGTCTCGTCTCACATGCGCATTTTCGCTCTCTCGCCCCTTTTCTCTCTCTTGGTTTTTTTTTTCTGTGGGTCAGTTAATTGACATTTAAACACTGGTATTCATTTATTTCCATCCCTGGTAGCATTTCACCAAAGCTGTGCAGCATCCGACCCCCTGTGTTGAGAGAAGGGACACATAGACCCCTGATGCAGGTTTAACCCACGTCACTGTGAAACTGGAACCAAAACCTGTTGCTAGTTCATTTTCATCATCTATGACAGTAAAAGCCAATTGCTCAACTGCAGCATCCGCAGCATAAGTATTATAACCAAATGTGGCATTTTCTGTCATGTGTTTATGATAACAAAATTTATTAAAAAGCTTTTTTTGAACATCAAATACCAAAGTGAATTCTCAGACTTTTCTTCAAATCCCAGCCCAGTTTCCTGAGCGAAACCCGTATCATGTCAGGCAAGGTTCAGTCGTCCCCCAGCTTTGCTTTGACCTCATCACAGTTGTTTGTGTAGTAAGCTTTACCTGGGATCTTCTTCTTGTAAATTCTCACTACTGTTTTCACGCAGTGGCTGGATCAACAGAGCATACAGGCAGCCCGTGCTCACTTCCAAGTAAAACCCAGTCCCGCCTCATCTGCTGCCCTGCAGCCATGAGGGCTGAGCAGAGGCTCCTCCCCGTCTCTCCTTCTGGTATAAAGGCCTCTCCCCCCTCACTACACCTCAGACCAAAGTTTAGAAAGAGTGTGTGAGGAGAGCTTTCAGAAAGCTCTGCCCCCTGAGGGAAGAAGAAGAAGAAGAAAACGAACAGGAGGAGGGAGGCGTATTTATTTATTTAGGGTCTTTTTACTCTCACACAACCTTTTGAGGTTCATCAACTTTTTTTTTTCTCTCTGATGTGGATTACTTGAAAACCGACCCGCCAGGATTAAAAAAACGGATATTGTGTTTTTACTGAAAGCTATGGTGGCTTACGATGAACTGGGTAGCTTGGTGCCTATCAAACGGACTCTGCAAGTGATAGACTACCAGAACCAAGCCAACAAGGAGTCAGAGGTGAGATGCAAAAACTCAAACGATGGCGGTGATGGTGGCCGATACTTGTGGGGTGTTTATCTGCTATCTGTGTCTGTCAGTAAATGTTTGACTGGAATTCATTTATACGAAGTCATATCTCTGTGTCATGTGTCAGATTGGGAGTGAATCAGCGCCTAACCCTGTTTTTTTTTTTATTTATTTTTTTATCTGAGGTGGGTGTGCAGTGACATGAGACTTTGAACTTTGAGCTGAGGCTCCTAGAACAATGCTTGAGATACTGCCTAACCTGAAGAGGTTAATCATTGGGTTACACTGCACCTGAATGGAGCTGTAAACATTCAACTGCCCAACAGCTCAGCCTTGGTGGGGTACGGAGAGATCAGGATAAACAGTAGACTCAAAGTGCCTCAAACAGTGAAGCAGCAGGGGTGGGGGGGGTGGGGGGGTTCTCAGTCAACAACCCTTGCGTCCTTTTAGCTCAGTCCCGTCTACAAATACTTTTCTTTTGACCTCTGACTGAAGTCGAAGCAGGTCTCTAATGCAAACGAAGCACAGCAGCTCGAGAGCATTCCTTCAGCTTCAAACACTATCAAAGGGACGCGGTTGTTGAAACCCAGGTGTTCCCTCTGCACTGATAAAAGCCACAACTTCAGCTCCTTCCTTCCCCCTTTTGAGGCTTGCATGGTTCCCCTTCCGAACGGGGTTTTGGGATGATGTGGTTTCATTGACAGTAAACCACTTGACAAAGGAGAAGTCTGAGGATAATTTGTGAAGTGAGTTGCACAAATGAGACACTCTCAGGCCCCGTGCAGTGTTTTTTTTTTTTTTTTTTTTTTTTTTTTTTTCTTCTGTGCTGACCTCGACTCTTTCATTCATGGCTGTTCTGTTCTCAGCTCCTATCAGCTCAAGCTGTGCTGCAGTCGCAGGGACACGTCTGGGGTTTTAGCTCAAAGAGAAAAGCACTGGAACGCTTTTTGGATCCCCTGAAAAACCTCTGTCTTAGGTTAGGAGTTTAAGGAGCACATGTGTACATTATATATTTTGTTCCACTGATATTAGTTCCCCATAGCAGCAGCACAAACCCCGGACCCGTCTGGTTTTTCTGAAGTGAGCCAGACTCAGTGAAACCCCACAGAGTTCAGGAATAGCAACTTTCCCCATATGCACTGTTTCACTTTACAGCTGATTCACAATGAGAGGCTTTAGTGGCCTTTTGTTATTCTGGGGCCAGTCCCAAAAAGACAGGAAGGGCATAATAGCCAACACGCGTTTCCAATGTTGACTTTGGGAACCCCCCTTCACCACCACCACCACCACCCTCCTCCAACTTTTGCTTTTTTTTTTTTCTCTTTGTCTACAGATATTTAAAGGTCACAAATTAGAGGCAGACTCTGCACAGACAAGTTAAAAACTTGTGTCCTCACATGTTCACCACAGTCCCCCGCCACTAGAGGGCTTGTCCGGGCTGTCTGGCTGTTCCCATCTGATCCCATGCGGAGACCCCGGCCACAGCAGACTGTGACTCAACCGCAGCCTCGGCAGATCTCAGGCCACGCCAGACTTAAGTGGATCTGTTCTGCAGCTGTGTCTGCACGGCCCCGGAGCCTCAATGACGGCTCTGTTTCCCAGATTCGCTGAGCCAAGGCAAAATCCCCATTTGGCCTGAGTCAGGAGAAAGCACAGGCGACTGCTCGAGTGCTGCGCTCCATTTCAAAGAGCAAGGCTTCATTAGTGTATAGTTTGTAAAAAGAAGAAAAAAAGGAAAATGTTTTGTGGGGAGTGCAAACTTTTGGAAATGCTAATTATGGCTGTGGCCGTCTCGTCCTGTCGTATTTCAGAAGAGGTCCTGAAATCATTACCTCAGATCTTCAGCTCTTTGAGTCCTGTGGCCTGTTGTTGTTGGCACGAGGCCAAGCAGCTCTCTCTCTCTCTCTCTCTCTCCTTTCTCCCAGCCTCGGGGCAGGGTGAGGGGAGGAGTGGGAGAGGGGGAGGTCACCTGGCCCAGGTGTGGTGCTGCTCTCACGCGAGGCTTGTCGAAGAGCCTGTCTCGACTCGCAGCCATAAACACCGCCGTGCACCCCCTGTGACACGGCACTGTGTAAACACTTGAGGGGGGGGGGGCAGATTTCGCTGTCTGTTTACGACTGCTGCTTCTTCCCCCTGACTCACATTGTCGGTCTGCCACACTCTCCCATAATTCCCCCGTCACCCTGGGAAAGGCAGTTAAAGAGCCGCAGCAATCAGTAAGAGTTTATCTCACACTGTTTGAGTGACGGAACAGATCCGTCCTCGAGTGCAGTTGTAGCTGCTGTTGGGCCAGATAGTAGCAGTGTGTGTGTGTGTGTGTGTGTGTGTGTGTGTGTGTGTGGGGAGGGGGTGTTGAACAGCTGAGAGCAGGATCTTGTGCATTCCTGGCATTCCACCAGACCTCCTTCCCCTGCAGATCAGCAGTCAGAGAGGGTCTTTGTGCTCAGTGGGCTCTTCACATGATGGAGCCAACAGCTGCTGGAGCTGCTTCCTGCGCCCCAGTATCTCTGTCTGTCCGCTGGTCCGCCAGTCTGTCCGGGTGCAGCTCGACCTCGGCTCCAGCTACTCGTATGTCCTCGCCCCAAAGCAGAGAGTGGAGTCAATAATGATTATTAATGATCCGACTCGATGTGTTCAAGTCACAAGGGAGCGCCTGGACTCAGTGCTGAGGTCTCACAGTCTGAGTCGCGGATCCACTGGTTCCGTGTTGTTGCAAAAAGAACGAAAATGCACGACTGTCGTTTGACATGAGTCATGATAAAGCTGCCTGACTAATCTCTCCTTCCTTTTTTCTCTCAAGGAACCCAGCAACAAGCGTGTCCGTCCTCTCGGCAGGGTGACTTCGCTAGCCAACCTCATCTCTCCGGTGAAGAATGGGGCCGTCCGGCGCTTCGGCCAAACCATCCAGGTAGTTCCCCCCTCCCTCGACACCTCTTTGCCGTTGTATATGTCGTACCAAACAAGCTGGTGTCCAAATGCAACATGTCTGACATCTGGGGCTTCCCGTTTTGCCGTCTACAGGCCTCGTTCCGGGGCGATGGCAAGTCGCCGGGCATGCCCCAGAAGCCTTGCAGCAAGGCAGCGGCCCCCACACCGCCTAAAAGGAGGAACAGTACGCTGTGGTCGGAGACACTCGACGTCCACCAGAAGGGAACGTTCTCCACTAAAGAGATCAAGCGGCAGGAGGTGAGAATCATTTAAATGCAGTAGAAAAGACAAGTAGAGGACACACAGGGGGAAAGAGGAAAGGTTATAGAGTCAGACATCCAGACAGAGTAGTTTCACATATCCCTGTAGTATTTGTGTCAAATACTGTGAATGGGGCCAGAAGCTCCCCCCCAACCCCTCCTTTTGTCCTGCATATGTCATATATCTTATCCAACTGTCAACATCCATAAAGTTTTAAACATCGAGAGAGAGAGTGAGAGGGAGCGAGCAGCCAGACAGATTTCAAAGTTTGACCTCAGTCGTTTGGCTCCATCGCAGTTTTAGATTTAGTCCAATCACTGTCAGTTGCAATCATGTCACGACATCCTGATTCATGTGTTTTGCTAAAAAACTTTCTTTCTGTGCCTCCTCCTCCCTCCTCCCTCCTCCCTCCTCCTCCTCCTCCTCCTCCCTCCTCAGGCCATATTTGAGCTGTCTCGTGGAGAACAGGACCTGATTGAGGACCTCCAGCTGGCACGCAAGGTTTGTACTTTTAAACCTCTGAGGCGGAGGGAGTACATGTAAAGCAAACAGATTAAATCAAAGTCTGGCAGGCCTTCCACTCAGCCAAGCCAGCGACTATAAAAAGACAGGAATTATTCCTCTGTCTTTCTGTTGTGCCCCTCAAGCTCTTAGCTCAGCTATTCTTAGCATCCGCCCCTCTTGGCCTGCTGGGATATTGTTATTTGACCGTTTTGGCTCTGCTCCCGTCCACAGGCGTACCACGACCCAATGCTGAAGCTCTCCATTATGTCTGAGGAGGAGCTCACTCACATCTTCGGCAACCTGGACGCCTACATCCCTCTTCATGAAGACCTGCTGACCCAGCTCTCCAAAGCCACGGGGCCTGACGGGACAGTGGGCCAGATCGGACAGATTGTCGTTAGCTGGGTAAGCGTCCTTTCACCAAGTCGCAGGACACTGTTTGATTCTCTTAATATTCCGGGTTTCAACTACGGCGGGCAGTTAGTGACGGTGTCCCTCCTTCTCCTGCAGCTGCCCAGGCTAAATGCCTACAAGGACTACTGCAGCAACCAGCTGGCAGCCAAGGCGCTGCTGGATCAGAAGAAGCAGGACAGGCGGGTGCAGGACTTCCTGCAGCGTTGCCTGGAGTCTCCCTTCAGCAGGAAGCTGGACCTGTGGAGCTTCCTGGATATTCCACGCTCCCGTCTGGTCAAGTACCCGCTGCTGCTCAAGGAGATACTGAGACACACTCCGCCAGAGCACCCTGATGCTGCGAGCTTGGAGGAAGCGGTGAGTCGGAAGACACGAACAAATCGACACATTTGTTTAACACAGGAACCAGCTTCATCTTCAGATCTTTAAAATGTAGCTGAAATTAATCATTTGATTCCCCGTGTGTTCAGATCACCGTCATCCAGGGCGTCCTGTCCGACATCAACATGAAGAAGGGAGAGTCTGAGTGCCAGTACTACATCGACAAGCTGGAGTATCTGGACGACAGGCAGAAGGACCCTCGCATCGAGCAGTGCAAGAGCCTGCTGTGTCACGGCGAGCTGCGCAACAAGAGCGGCACGGTGAGCAAAACACACACTCACTTCCCTCTCAGCAACACATGGCCTCTTTGGCTGCCTCTTCACACACTGGCTGTGACCACCTGCTTATCCCCCAACCACCCAGTGATTTCACCGTACGAGTATGAGCCGTTAACATCTTCCAGGAAACTTTTGGTGGTGGTTATGTAATATATCAATGTTCTGGTTTTAATATTTCTTTGTTTTTTGATTCCTACCAGAAACTGCATGTGTTCCTGTTTACTGAGCTGCTGGTTCTGACCCGCCCCGTCACCAGGAACGAGCGCCAGTGTTTCCAGGTTTACCGGCAGCCAATCCCAGTGCAGGATCTGGTGCTGGAGGACCTGCAGGACGGCGACGTCCGAATGGGCGGCTCCTTCAGAGGCGCTTTCAGCAACGCAGACAAAGGTAAGGCTCACGTCCAACGTCAGAACATTCGTGGCAGTTAACGCAGCTTTAGATTTTGTCTCATATCAGATATATCAAATTGCTAATTTCATTTTTTCTGTTTCTTCGACAGCCAAGAACATTTTCCGAGTGCGTTCCCAAGACCCGAGCCAGGCGCAGTCCCACACGCTGCAAGTCAACGACGTCTTCCACAAGCAGCAGTGGCTCAACTGCCTCCGTAGCGCCATTTCCGTCCACCGGCCCCTCAACGAGCCCTCCACCCCGAGCCCGCCCACGAGCGCCGCCCGCACCAAGCGCCGCCCCTCCTCCGTCTCGGCCATCATCCACATGGAGGAAGCGGACGAGAACTGCCTGCAGCCGACGTCGCAGTCTGCCCCCAGCTCGCCGTGCAACAACGCAACCCCCAGCCCCACCTCCTCCTCATCCCCGTCATCCTGCTCCTCAGCTTCGTCGACGACGTCGTCATCCTCGACGTCCCCCGTCTCCTCATCCGCGTCGCAAAAAACCAAAAAGGACAAGAAGTCTCTGTGTTCTTTAGGGAAGAGGAAAGAGACGATGGTGTGAACTGAGCTGACAGGAGACAATGGACTCCAGGGCGGACATTTTGTTTTTTTTGTACATAAATTCAGAAACAGCGCAGAGAAGCGCAGGACTTGTATTTATGTGTGTCTGCGTGCGTGCGTATTATTACAACAGTGTTCTGTGTTACTGTCCTCTTTGGCAGCTATTTACCTCACCCCTCCTTCCAAGTGCATCCCACAGAGACACAGAACCGGGGAGGGGGACGTGCCCGCCCTCCTACAACTCTAGAAAGGGAAGCATAACGAGAAGCAAACACACTTTTCACACATGAATATCTGTGTCATAAGTGGGTTTCTTGAAGGTAGAGGTGGTGCATCAAATCCTGTTTACTCTTAATTTGATATTTAAACATTATTTTAGACCATTTTTGGGGGACATAATGAAAGTTTTACATTTTTATATCCTAAAATCGATTGTAGTATTTTTTTTTTTTAGATATAAAGCAGCACTGTTTTAGCTTTAGGTGAAGTTATTTGAAATTTTGAGCGTGTTTAGGAGGCAAGAAAGAAAGAGAATCCCCAAATAGATAAGATGTACTACACAAAGCTACACACCTTCATCTGTAAAAGTCTGATTTTTACATTAATGAGATCTTATTTTTATACATTCCTTAAATGACAGATGTTTGGACCCAGGCATTTTTTTTTTTTTGCAGATACTGCAGTCAGAGGCATTAATTTAAATCCCTAACAGGTGAGATTTCAGTTTCTGGCTGTCAGAACAATAACAAGTCATCAGACGTTGAATCATGTCAAAGAAGAGACGAGGAGTTTTGTTTAAACGCAAAATTTTTGAACTGAGCCATGTTGGTTTTTTTTTTTTTTTTTTAAAAAAGCTGACTTTTCAGAATGAAACAAAATGAAATTTCTCAGTGTAGCATCTTGCATGGAGCTGTAGTTGTGGGCACTGCTTGCACCTGTCGAGGCAGCAGGATGTTTGAACTTGTCCTGAGGGACGGGAAAGTTAAACATGTAAAGGATTTGTAAATGAAACTAGAAGAATGTTGTCTGAAGGCTGAAGAGATTAAAGACGAGATGGATAAAGTGTGTTTTGGAAACTGAAATAGATTGTATGTGCAAGATGTGTCAATCCAACAACTTTCCCTTGTGTAAGTTGATGTGGTATCTTGCTCGTAGATGGATGATTGGTCGGTAAAACTCAAGTGAGTGTAATCAATGGAAAAAGTATGTAGGGGAAGAGCGATGAAAAAGAAGGTTTTTGTATGTGCACAAGATGTTTTTTGTCATTGAGATGGAAAAAAGAAAAGAAAAGGAAAAGGCAATTTGCTTGCCACAAACTGTATTTGATAAAAGAGAACAATAAAAATCTGTGTAAGATTTGCATCTGAACATTTTGGTTTCATGTCTTCATACTTCTTCACTCTGACTTCTGTCCACTGATTTATGTCTGGTCTCTTAACTAAACAGTTGGTTTCACGTAGGAGAAACATGTCCAGTGAAAGAATTAATCAGGATTTGCTTTTTTAAACTGCGACAACCCTGCCTGCTCCCTGCTTGAGAGAACTTATTTGTTGACAGTCTCTGTCAGAGGAAACCACTTTTTTATCAGGTCTGTGATTTCCATTTGGAAGACTTGACCAATGGTCTACAAGAGGCTGTCAAATTTTTAAATGTAAAAAATTAACACTTCACTCTGGCTTATAAGTTAAAGATGAGCTAAAGTGATCACCAGAGAGAAACCATAGAGACTGAGCTCTTTAAATGTCACACATAAAGTATTGTTCATAGCGAGGCAGATTTTCTTCCTTTTGAATTTGTCTGCTTGGCACAACCCAGACGCTGCTTGTTATTTTATTATGTATGTTAGGTCTTACGTCTGTCTCTCAGACATTCTCCAAACATTTGCTCATGCTCTCCACACAGTCGCCCATTTACTTTTAATGGAACTTGAACACGTACCAGCAGTACAGTTAATGAAATGGATGTTGTTAAGTTCCTGGGCAGCCTGTGATGAATGTCAGACAGCAGCGGGTGAGAAAATGATAAAATGAGTGAAAACTGTCCTGAACTCTCAAGAATATATAACTTTTTTATAAAGTTTTGGGTGTCATTTTTGCTGACATAAAAGTTGTATCCTTTTCAGTCCCTTCAATCTTATAACAGAATGAAGTCCAAGTACAGTCACTTCCTGTTTAGTTAGTTAGCTTCGGCAACAATATTTATTGGTTATAATAACATTGTACTTGCTACTGCTGTCACATGGGAACCATGGTGACATGGCTACAACCAAAGATACTCTATAACAAGGGTGAAGCATGGGAGTGGTCATTTTATTTGGAGGTAAAACCAAAAGTGAGCGCACCTGAAATGTTGCCCAAGCAGAGTAAGCCGAGTAGCGGCTAACATCTCAAAACATGGCAGCGTCGCTGAAAATAGTGCAGGTCCAACTTAGCAACAAACAGGAGTGGACAAGCTAACAGTTTAGCTAGATTAGCCACCATTTCATTTGGAGGTAAAACCAAAAGTGAGCGCACCTGAAATGTTGCAAATAATCCATCAAAGCTATCAGAGTAATGGCTAACATCTCAAAACATGGCAATGTCAGTGAAAATACTGTATGTCCAGCTTAGCAACAAACAGGAGCAGATAAGATAACATTTTAGCTAGATTAGCTACTATTTTATTTGGAGGTCAAACTGAAAGTGGGCCACACTAAATACTGGCTAGTCCTCTTTGCATTGGAAAAATGTGCACACCGCTACAAGTAGGTCAAAGATGAACCAAGATGCTGGTCTGTAAACTGATAGATTGACTGTGTTATTTTTTGAAATGGTGCCAAAACTCAAAGTTGGAGCCTTCTGATAGCCAAGTGGTATTATGGTATGATACCCTATAATTAAGCCCATTAACTGGAAATACATCCATGCAGGTCGAGTCCATACCTCAAAATCTACATGGGCATGTAGCATGTCTGAGTTTGTGTCCCATCACAGACCTACAATTAACCAAAGCCTTAACCCTAATCTTTTCCTAACCTTAAACAGTATATAGTTTATAGCCATATGCAGATACTGTAGAGTATACTGTAAGCTTCTGCTCCCCATATTTCCTGTGTCAACTGCCTACTACTGCCAATAAAGGCTAAAATGTCAAGATCCAAGTTATGATAAACCAGAATTATCCTTTTAACTATACGCCCATAGGCGATGGTGGTGGTGGTGGTGGAGTAAATCCAATTGATGCAAAAATAATCTATTTCTATCTATTCAATTAACCTTTATTTAACCAAAAAAGTCTCTTGAGATACATTATCTCTTTTGCCAGAGAGACCTGGCCAAAATAGCAAAGTAAGATAAGTATCGCATACAAAGATCATTAAATTACAACAGTCACATGAAGCACAACAAAGCAAGACCAGAGACACATGAGAGAAATAGAACTTGTCTGTTTAGAACAATTAAATTCCCTCTGAAACATTTTTCGAAAGTGATGTTTGAATGTCTGATATGAAGGCAGTCCAGGGTGCTGTTTCACCAAGATGTGAGCAGACTCTAGGGACACTGAAGATCTAGATGATCAGGTCTGATAGCTGTTATAAACAGGAGAAGCATTTCAGGAGGGTAAACAGGAAGTTTACAGAAGACATCTCTAAAGTCCATCAAGTTAACTTGTATAAATTAGAGTCATGAGTTCTTGTAACAACATTCAAAATAGAAGACATAGATGAATGATACACAGGTCATGCCTGAGTACAGGGGATAACCATTATCTAAAACAGTTAAAAATGTGGATTGAACAAGATGTTTCCAAGCTGCAAAGGAAAAGCATTTCAATGAAACTAAAAATCTAAAACTCTAACTTTTTGTGGAGAATGTGAATGGTTTCAGGGGGAAAGCCATAAATGTGCTTTTTGTGCATTCAAGGTTAATTCTAATTGAAAAAAATATTAAATCTCTTATAGCAAAGTCGGTGACAGGGAGGTGCTGAGTTGCGTAGCATCGTGTCTGAAACACAAAATCACAGGATTAAAGAGATATTTAAAGAGCAGCATCCGACAACCAATTGGCAAAAAAAAGGGCGTATCTCAACCTTGGGCCTAACCTCTCTTTGTGCCTTTGTTTACCCCGGTTAAAGCGAATGTACCTGTTTTTGTTTGCCTGTCATCCATAACAATCAAAAACTCTGTTGTTTATCTGAGTGTCGGTTTCATCTGGTGAATCAAAGTTTTGGTGAGTAAGCAAACAAAGCGGCTGCGGTTGATTTTACGATGCCACACACAAGCTGCTGCTACGTAACAAGGCGGCTCTTTTGGAGATGTTACAGGTTATGTAACAAACACATGCAGCTTTAAACCAGCAACCATAACAGCAAAACAACCTAGCTGAGAAGCAGCCAAAACACAACAGAGCCATCAGGAACCTCCCTGCAGTGTACCACAAACTTCTCTCAGCAGCTCAGCTGTGCTAGTGAAAGAGCTGTGGGCCAGATTATTGACAGACGCAGACAGCTAAGCCCTCTGTCAGTGATACGTCACTGTCGCATCCTCTGGCACTCGGATCACCTCAGCTAAAAAATTCCACAAACACACCCTGATGGCTTAGATCTGACCTCTACCCGAAGGATAAGATGAACTCAGGGAAACAGAAACTTCCCTGACTGGTCTGACTCAGACACCCAGTTTCCCTATTACCATAAGTACAATGTGGAAGTGACGCCTGATACTGGACATTAGCTAATGTGACAAGGAGCTGAGATGGCAGAATTCACCATCAGGAGTGTCAGGAGTCACGGGACTAATATAGATCCTATGGTGGCTGTAAGTCATTGTCAGATGCTGTTGTACTGAAGGAATTTACCATTTTTTCACAATTCTTCTAATGTGATAATCTTTTTTCCCACAGTTGTTCCCAGTTAGCAACTGTATTGGACTAAAATTCATCAGATGGACAGAAACATGACCCCAAAGGAATGCTATTGTTGCTCTGAATGTGTAAACTGGCAAATGTTTGCTAACACATTAGTCACATCAGCAAGGGGATAAGTTAGTAAGTCAAGCTTGTTTCACTGTCCCCAACTGGCCTGAAAAAAACACAGTAAATATATATTTCCCTACCTAGACTACAATGACCCAAATTATATTTAGACACAATAAAGCCATCAGAGGCATTTTCCATAAAAAAAAAAAGTTTAGTATACCATACTTTATTATGGTAAAAGCACAACTGGCACAACTTCACCTCCTCCTCCAAGGTGTATGGAGAAAGGAAAAAGTCTAAAGAGGTCAAAACTCCAGCAGCACTTGAAGTATACAGAAGAACTTCATTGAACCACTGTGTTTTGCCCTGAAGACCATGACCCTGAGAAATGCCAGAAGGTGACACGCTTTGGTTTAATAAAGTTCTTCTGTTTACTTCAAGTGCTGCTGGAGTTTTGACCTCTTTATCCTCTTTATCCTTATCCTGAAGCAATAAATAAATGTTTTATAAATAAAAGTTGTTTTAACTACAATCAGATCAGCTGTTGTGCTAACCCTGTCACATTCACATTGATGTTGTCACTGTTGATTAAAGGAATCATTTCACATTGTGGGAAATAAAGCAAGAAACTGATGCCATATCTTAAGCAAACAAGATACACGTTAAGTAGTGAGGTTTATAGAGCTGTGTGATAGAGGCTGCTTATACACCCAAATGCTGACTATTGCTCTAAAATCACATACAGTCAATATTAATCTGGCTTCATCCAGTACTGAGGATGTGGAAGGAGCTCACAAACTCCTGTCTTGTCATTCTGGCTTTTTTTTTTTTTTTTGGAGCTGGGACGTATCGGCCAGTCTAAACCTGAGGGAACTCGTCAACAAAAAAAATAGTCAACATACAAAGACTGTGGACAAAGAATGGTCTGGTAAAACAACAGGAGGAACATGTGTACATGACAGGACAATGCAGCTTGTTGAAGGCCCACTGTCATCAGTGCTGGCCGACCATGTGGGGGCGATGAATTAACTCGCTCACGGCTCATGCATGAGCGAAAAGGTCAACGCAGCCCCGCACTCAGTGGAGATAATATAGAGATTGTCTGTGAGATTAACATGCGCATAAACAAAGCCTTTACAAGCAACGTGGCCTGTCTGTTTCCTCTAAAGCAACAACATCTCTTTCATTACTGCTGCTTCAGATGTTAGGAGGTACTGGAAACCCCCCTGGAGATGAGACCACACCCACCACCTCTGAGACAATAAGCACACGACTTAATCTGACCAGCAAAGTGGCGCTTGGAGGCAACCTCAGACGACTGCGGGTCAAACAGGTTCACAGCAACTTCTCTATCAAAACCTGGACTCCGTGTTTATGTCAAAACACAGTCCTCCTCCGCTGGTCC